ATACCCAGATGACAATCGCCGGCCTCTTTAATGGTGCTGTAGATAAGGCTATCGTCGGGAATGATAAACAATATCAACTGTAGTCGCGGGCACTCCTGTTTCGCGGCCCGGAATATGGTGGCGATATCGCGGGGGGTCTGGCGGTCGTATTTAAACACCTTAGTCGGCTGACCGACAGTCATGCCCACCGAACGGGCGCCGTTCTCGCACAGACCCTTCACAAACTCCCTGTACGCCGCGTCGTCCACCCAATTCATGCATAGATTAACGCACACCCAGTGGTCGAGTCTCACCGCCCGATACATTGGCACCTTTGCGCCCCGATCCAGACCTTTGGTGTCTGGCTTACCGATCACACGGCCGGGCACTTTCACCGGACGGGTGTCAATAGAGAGGCTAAACTCCGTGAGATATGGGGCGGACGTCTCGTTGATAGTGCGCACGGCCTCCGTAATGGCATCAAACCGTTCTTCTGGCGATTTGCTGCCTATCGAGTGCCGTAAAACAAACATAAAAACATAGATTAGTTCGGCCATTGATTGATTGCGGGGACAAATGGGTCAATACATACCGCATTCTCTGACCATTTTGGATGTGTTAAACGGGTCGAGTTTGGCGCGGGAAACGGGTTGATCAGGGTGCAGTGTGCACATCTCAATGGGCAAATAGATCAATTTGCTGGCCTGTGGTATAAGACAGGGCAGACCCATATCCGTAATATCCTTTTTATACTGAGACTTAAAGTACTCTTTGACAGAAACGGATCGTTTGCGGCCGTTTTCGTCCAATTCAAACGTTTGCCGATCGGGCGGATTGTCGGACAGGCCTTTAATAGTATACGATCGCCGGTAACCTAAGTGGTCAGTGTATACCCGCAAACCTGTAAGCAAAACACATACAGTGGTCAGTATGGTATGTATAAGTGGAAGGGAGAGGGGTTGGCAACTGTTATGATAGACAACAAACCTTTAGACTCTTTGGCGAGAATCTCAAAGAGTTTTCTCTGGTCGCGCACGCGTTGTGCCAATTGGTCTTTCATGTTATACATGAAATCTGCGAGAGAGCCGCCGGTGAAGAACGCTGTGGCCGATCGGTCCACGAGAATCGTGGGACCAATTTTGGTCAAACGCGTGCTCTGGTAGTGACCGAACACTACCTGTTTGTTGCCGGCGTTGTCGATGTCTACGCGTCCTAACCTCGGGTTTCTTGCATCCCATTTCGGGTACAATGAATTGCCAATCGGTATGCGATCCGATGTCGGGCCGTATCTGTGCGGACAAATAGGTATTGATATTTGAGACAATTAAGAGCGAGAGAGCCGCCGGTGAAGAACGCTGTGGCCGATCGGTCCACGAGAATCGTGGGACCAATTTTGGTCAAACGCGTGCTCTGGTAGTGACCGAACACTACCTGTTTG